TCCGAAGAAGCCCTTTCTCAACCCTTCCCATGATGCTCTGGGAGTCTGTGACAATGATAAGATGGGTAGTTCTTGGTCTTGTATTTTCAAGCCAGCCAAGCGCTCCTTGTTACGGTCTCAATATCAATTTTCATGCTTGAAGTTGTTCTTTCTATGGCCCCTGACATGCTATGAACCTTTGTATTCCCACTGTACACCACAAAACCCCATCCACTTCTATCACCCCTCCCGGCCGATCCATCCGTATAGATCACTGGGTCCTCTGGCTTGGAATGCTCCTCAATTAACTGTCGCATGTCACTGTCGTTAATGACAGAAGCACATTCCCGTCTTTCACGACCCATAGTGATGTGAACGTTGGCCAGGCTTCTGCAATCGGGGCTCAGTTCAAACCCTTTCTTTCCACAGCATATTTCATCTATGCCACAAACTTTCCTCAAAAAGTCTTCGGCTTCTGCCATCCATGAGCTACTGCGTTTGATCATGTTTCCTTTGATGCTGCTTAGGTTGTCATTCAAAGAGTGCCTTGGGTCTCCCAAAACATTCAAGTACAGCTTTGCCTATGCCACCTTATGCCTCACTCTGATGCTGGCCAGGTCAATGATGTGTTTCATACAGACAGCATGGGTGTCCTTTGTGCAACCTAGAACGGCCCTCATAGCTGCATTCTGTACTCTCTCCAACCTGTCTATCTGAGTTTTGGACAGGGAGAGAATGCCCAGACCATAGTCTATGACTGACAGAACCACCAGCTGCAATAGGAGAAAAAGAAATATCTGTTGAATTCCCGCTGAAGTCAAGGTCTTCACTACATTGATGCCCTTCTGAGCCCTGACAGAAACATTGTAAATATGTTCTTAGTCCTATTTCTACTTCTATATCCCTTTGTCCTGTCCTTTCCCACAGCTCTTCATTTCTTATTCTATCCTGCCACTTAATTCTCAGAATACTCCTCATACATCTGTTGATGAAAGTCTGGACTTAATTCAGTTCTCAGTTCTGTATTTGTTGTCTTCCAAGTTTTGCAGTCATAGAGGAGCACAGACTTGACGTTGGAGTTAAAATAAAGAGTCAAATCTTGGTGCACAGTGAGATGTTGCTTGCCTTTCAGACTTTTGATAACTGATTGAATGCTGACCTTGCCTTGGCGGTTCTTGCTTTAACATCTGCCTCGGTTCCACCTTTACCATCGATGACACTTCCAAAGCAGGTAAAGGAGTCCACTTCTTCCAGGGGAGTGTCTTACACTCTCACAGTAGGGTTTGAAACTTTTCCTAGCTTCACTACTTTTGACTTGCCTTGATGTATACGTAGGCCAACACTCCTTGTTGAGTTCCTTGGTCTTTTCTTGCATCTGAACATGTGTGTGAGAGAGCAGTGCTAGGTCACCTGCAAAGTCCAAGTCGTCCAGCTGCTGCCAAGGGATCCACTGTATTCCTTTACGCTTGCCTCTGGTGGCTTCTTTCATGACCTAGTCAATTGCCAGTATGAAGAGAAAATGTGAGAGCAAGCATCCTTGTCGTACTCCTGTCTGTACCTGGAATGGTTCTGAGAGTTGTCCTTCGTGGAAGACTCTGCAGTTTGTTCCATTATATGTGGCCTTCACAAGCTTGACCATAAAATGGTGGTGAAAAAATCGATACGAGTAGGCTCGGTCGCCACCCGGGCAAAATTCAAAATATCCTACCAACTGAAAATGTTAAGAGTCTCCCGCGTGCTCATATGACCTTATGCAGTTGCGAGCGCCGTAAAACACCAAAACAATATAGGCCTACAGCAGGGTGATAAAAAAAAATAATAAAAAAAGAAAACTGTACAATTTTTTTGTTAATATTTTCCTCCACACTGAAGTTTTTGCGATTCAAATTTGTAAACAACATTTCGAAGTCAAAAGAAATATGTCTGATATTCATTTTAGTAAAATAAACAGAAAAGTTTTGTTTTATATGTACACAGCGCGTAAATAAACAACCCATTTTCAGCTACGTCCCCATTTTTGTAACATGGCGTATTAGTTCGCATAAGGCCTACCACTAAAAATCCCAACGATTGAGCCATAATGGCATATTGCATACTACAGTAGTCTTACGAAGGCCAAAAAAAGTTGACAGACAGTTTTTCTCAAGTTTCCTTTGCCTGCTGTGATCAAGGAAAGATCGAGATATTTTTTAACTTTTCTTCACCACCAACTCATTTCGTAAGTTTCGCACCAGGTACAGAAATAATGTGAAAATGCCACTGTCATTGAGGCCTTCTTTGGTGTCAAGGGTGGAAATGGTTCCTCAGTTAGTACCTGTAGAGAATCAGAAATTAAAATTCCAAGACAAAACGACCATCAGTGGCGGGGCGCCATTGGTGCAATTGGTGCAAGCGCTCCACCTAACCCTGGTCTTCACCCCCCCCTTTCTAATTCTTCTAAACCAGTCAGTGCTCTAGATTCTAGATCTACATGACTACATCCTTGCGCTCCGTCACCCGCTGGTTGCACCAGTGAAAAGACAGACAGCGAGGATGGTTTATGCTCGTTGCACCGCTTGCAGTAGTGTCTCCTGGGAGCAAGCAGAATCTTTGCACCAATGTTATTTTTGTCACTGTAGAGAAATCTAGGCATCGTTCTTCCCGCACAAGAAGAAAGGGGCATGAAACTGCTGTTCGCAGCACCAATTTGGTGCAAGCTAAAAATTTGATCCAAGTTTCCGCGAGCCTATCTACTACACTATATTATAGTAGAGTCTACGGTAACTCAATGAAGAATGGGTATCGAAACTATTCTCTCCGTCTATTGTGTAGCAAGTCCTGGTGCTGCCCGAAGTAGATCTTGATTAAGATCTAATTAGAAATCTATAAATATTCTCAGATTGTGAGCATACTGAGTTGTTGGTACTGTTTCACTTTATTGCAGCTTTTATGTGGTTTCATCTAGAAACAGTTGTAAATATCGATAGATGTAGATTACGTGATATCCTGCTGATTCTAAGTGACTTTCTCTAGAAATCTTAATAGTAGCTACTAAGGCTATTGCCCATTTGCTCACTTTCCAATTATGCACCACCTTGTCTGCAACCCACGCGACGCCACTGACGACCATTTCAGGTCAAATACTCACACCGTTTGCACAAGGTTTGCACCCCTTTAAACGTCAACAGGGTGAAGACGTCTGTCCGTAGACGATGTCTGTTGCAACGCTCATTTCAACTGTCCGCATTCTCAGGGCTGATCTTCATATTTATGTACGACTGTACCATTTTCCGTTCGCGAAACTATCAAAAGATAACAATGTGTTCATGATTCATCGATCGTCTTGAAAAGCGCTGCCATTTCCTTGGTGACATTTCGGTTCCTTGGCAAAGCCCATAGATCTATTCACCTTTCAGGTTATATGAACTCCAGAAATGCTGTCTATTTGGGCAACCTCACCCCTCCCCCTTTTGTCTCTAGAAACAGCTCCATATTAGGTGTACAGTGTGCGTGGGTTTGAGTACTCATGGTTGAGTGGTTCCATGTATTTGGCCACCTTGAACATTACGAACGACACGTAAAAATGTGTCGAGTCCAAAGGAGGACATTATAGACCTTTGTGATTGTGTCCTTTGGTTCTCGGAATTCCAGAATTTAAAAAAAAATATTTTAAACTCTCTAGGAGAAAAGAAATATTGTTTAAAGGTTACAGGGATGGAAAATTTAGATTTTTAAAATAAAAGGAAAGTTCGAACATTATTATAGGCCGAATATATCATTATGCTAAGAGTATCGTGGAAGGAAAAGAAATCAAATGAGGTAGATCTAGTGCTTGATGAAGCCCACGTGGGACGCTCAGTTTAAAAAAACAACCAGGAAACGACAAATGCAGTTTTTGGGATACCCGAATATTAATAGTCTTGAACATGCATCTAGACCTAGCTCTCAAAACTGGCAAAATTGAGGGCAAGCGAGCAGGGGTAGGCCCAGAACATACTTAGGGAACCCAAACAAACGGGTAACAGGGAAAGATCAGGGAAAGGTAGCTTTTTTTTAGAGCATCTGAGCAATACGGAATAAATGGAGAACCATGATTGCCGATGTCAGTCGCAGATCAGGGACTGGATGATGATGATTATAGGGATGCCTTTGATACTACATATATCAAGACCAAAATTAGTACTAGATCTAGATCTAGATATATACTCTATATAATATGAACCGTTGTGACTGTACATTACACATATAGATCTATAAATCTACACTCTGTGTATCTGTATTATATTTACTACAATCTTTGGCTTCGGGATTGAACAATAATTTGGTCTATATAACATCTTGGCCTATTTTATTTTTCCAATAATTTTATTCAATGCAATGAAATAGGCCCGGTAGAACCGAATCATTCACTTCCGGTTAACCGGTTAGCGAATACCAATCGATTCATTAGCGTGAACGCAGATAAATACACTTTTCGTATTATTATCATAGGTTTGGAACACGGTTCCTAATTCTGTAGAAACATTTTACGGAAAAGTTCAGACTGTATCCTCTTCCGTCTCAACTCAACCCCTTCCACCCCACCCCCCCACCCCCGTCCAAAAATTTCGGAGCTTTTTTTGACCGGCATAAGCTTAACCCAATGAGCACGCCACATTCTCATCATTCGACAAAGCTTGTAGTTGTAGGCACGTTGTTTGGGTCATTTAAAGCACCCTAGTATTTTTTATTTGTGTATGTTGGTTAAAAATGTGTCTCCACATTACCTGCGTGTGTGTGTGTGAGAGAGACAGACAGAGAGAGAGAGAGAGAGAGAGAGAGAGAGAGAGAGAGAGGGGGGAGAGGAGAGAGACGGAAAAAGAAAAAAAACCCAGTGAGACAGAAAAGACCACGTTTTCATTTCTCTCCCACCACACAGCTGTTCACATACAGCACATGACGTCAGTAAAAGTACAGGACCAGGAATTATCCAAAATCCTCCACCGGGCATCAGAGGCGACACTGGGCAAGCGAAGGCACAGGCGCGAGGAGGCTGCACGGAAGACGGAGGAGAGGCAGACCGGAGCCGGTGTCAGAAAGTTGTGGGAGAAGCTAGGACATATGTTTAAGACTATACTCACATATTGATTGGAATAACGACGAGATAAGGAATTAAAGAAAAAAAATATACTTGTAATACTTGGAGAAAAACAAACTTAAAAAAGAAAAAGGAAAGAAAAGAAAAAAAAATAATTTAAGGTTGTTTTTTTCTTTCCATTCATGTAAGTTATTGTCATTTATTAATTAATCATAATTTATTTATCGATTGCGATATTTTCTGTTTGTTTCCGTTTTTAAACCTAGTTACGTATTGTTTGGTGTTGTTATATTGGCTATTTTGTAAGAGGGTACGGGTGTGGGGGCAGTATATAAGGCTCTTCGCTCTGGCAAACAGAAGACATGTGTTATACGGGGTGCCCACTACGGCTGGATCGGGCCGATCGCCCGACTCGATCGCCTGAAACTGAAAACAAACACGTTTGTTTTTTAGGCGATCGAGTCGCCGATCGGCCGATCCCGTCCATAGTGGGCACCCCATATTAGATTCTACTTGTACGATCTTCTAAGCACCAGTGTCCCAGTGTAATGCACCCATTTTTAATTTTAAAACACTGTCCAAAGAAGTGGCCTGGCCTGATTAGTGTGTGTTTATGAGTGTGTGGGTCTCTCTCTGTGTGTGTGTGTGTGTGTG